GATGTTATCCATTCAGACACGCATCGTTACCGCGACGACCATCACGCATTCACTGCAGTCAGACACCATCACGACGTTCGCAGGTTTGTAGCGGGTTTGGTTTGGGTGTTTGCGTTAGGATGTTGGTGTTGTGGTCTTTGGTGGAATGATTTGACGGCGTCCAGACACGATCCGTTAACCGCTGAACATCGACGACACACTGCAGTCAGACACATCAACGCACACTGTCAGTCCAGACACCATACGCACATTGCTGAGTCAGACACCATCGTTAACCGCTTGACCACCTATCACGCACACTGGCAGTCAGACACCATCACGCACGACTTGGCAAGTCAGAACACGGCATCACGCACACTGCAGTCAGACACCATCGTAGCCGGCTGACAACATCCACTGCGCACACTCAAAGTCAGACACCATCGGTTAGGCGCTGACATATTGTTGTCTATACGCACACTGCAGTCAGACACCAAATCGTTAGCCCGCTGACACCACATTGCACACTGCAGTCAAGACACCTATCGTGTAAGCGCGTCTGACACCTTATCCACGCACACTGCAGTCAGACAACGCCATCGTTAGCGCGCTGAGACAGCTTCCATCAGCGGCACATGTTTTTGCTGCAGTCAGACACCAATCGTACCTGCTGACTATTCTCCCAACCACGCACACTGCAGTCAGACACCAATCGTTAACCCGCGACGGCCATTCAACGCAACCTGCGAGACCAGACCGCATCACGCACCCACTGCATCGACACATCGTTAACTGGCTGACTAAGTTACCATCACGCACACTGCAGTCAGACACCATCGTTAACCGCTGACACCATCACGCACACTGCAGTCAGACACCATCACGCACACTGCAGTCAGACACCATCGTTAGCCACTGACACCATCACGCACACTGCAGTCAGACACCATCGTTAACCGCTGACACCATCACGCACACTGCAGTCAGACACCATCGTTAACCGCTGACACCATCACGCACACTGCAGCAGACAGGACGCATCGTACATGCGCTGACACCGATACGCACACTGCCAGTCAGACGACGCATCGTTTAACCACTGACACGGATCACGCACACTGCCAGTCAGACACCTCGTTAGACTCGGCTGCGACTGACCCATCACACACACTGCATCAGACACCGATCACGCACACTGGCAGTCAAGAACACTCAATCGTTAACCGCTGACACCATACGCCACTGCAGTCAGACACCATCGTTAACCGCTGACACCATCACGCACACTGCAGTCAGACACCATCGTTAACCGCTGACACCATCACGCACACTGCAGTCAGACACCATCACGCACACTGCAGTCAGACACCATCGTTAACCGCTGACACCATCACACACACTGCAGTCAGACACCATCGTTACCACTGACTACCCATCTCTACGCACACTGGCAGTCAGACAGCCTATCGTTTAACTCGCTGAACACCGATCACGCACTACTGCATGTCAGACACCATCGTTAAGCGCTGAACCATCACGCACCTGCAGTCAGACCCATCGTTAATCCCACTGTTACACCTATCATGCACACTGGCAGTCAGACACCATCAATCACACTTTGCAGTAGACCACCGAATCGTTAACCACTGACACCATCACGCACACTGCAGTCAGACACCATCGTTAACCGCTGACACCATCACACACACTGAGTCAGAACCAATCGTTAACGCGCTGACCAAATTTCGTCGTTCATCATCACCCTGCCAGTCAGACACCATCGTTAAGCGCTGGACACATCACCACCCACTGGCAGTCAGCACACCATCGTTAACACACTGACAACCATCAACGCACACTGCAGTCAGAACACCATTCGTTAGCCACTGACACCATCAGCGCCACTGCAGTTCAGACACCATCAACGTCACCGATGCAGTCAGACCACCATCGTTAACCGCTGCAGTTGTTCCCAATCGTACGCACTACCGCAGTCAGGACACCATCGTTAAACATGCGCTGACACATCACGCACCTGGCAGTCAAGACACCATCAACGCACACTGCAGTCAGTTACACCATCGTTATGCATCACTGACACCGATCAACGCCACACTGGCAGTCAGACACCCATCGTTAAGGCGCCTGACACCAATCATTGCATCCTGCAGTCAGACACCATCGTTTAACCGCTGATATTTGTCGTCATCCACGCACACTGGCAGTCAGACACCATCGTTAACTCGCTGACAACCATCCGCACACATGCAGTCAGACACCATCGTTAACTCGCTGACGACATCACACCACTGCAGTCAGACACCCGATCGTTAGCCAATCATGTACAGCACAATGAAGAAGACAGTGGTGACAGCCCAAGAAGTTCAATAGAGTGAGATCAGTGATGTCATTCGTGATGTATGTACTCGTAAGACAATATAGCCTAGCTAGACGTTCACTTATGCGCTCCAAAACTTTTATCATCCTCTCATCCTAGAAATTATTTAATCATTCTCGCTCATCTTTTGAATTCTAACTTGTTCTATTCAACTTTACCCATTGCATACAAAATTACATACTGTAGTAACTGTACATTACGAGTCAGGATTTGTTTCGAGTGAGCACGTAACGAAGCTGAACACATTAGTTCTGTTTATAATGTTCCAGTTGGCCAAACAGCTTCTTCCAGGTGATTCACACTGCTTATGTTTAAATATTTTTTTTGCAAATTTCCCACGTACAACGACATACTCCTCAACGATTTAATGATTCAAATATCCAGTTACTGCTTCATCCAGCGTTCCCGCACACTACGCCCGCGCCAAAACGGACGGACGATGATAGAGAGTGAGAGAAGCAGCTTTACTGTTGTCGGCGTCGCACGCCTGCTTGTTAGCCTGGCTGACAGCATGCTGTATGTCCTCCAACCACAGCTTCGTCTCACTGTCATCATCACCACTCTGCAATAAATGGGTCAGTTATTAGTATGTGGAGAGGAGCAGAGCCAGGAGAACGAGAGGGTGGGAGAGAGGGAGCAGGGGATGGGAAAGGAGGGAGGATGAAGGAGAAGAGAGGGAGAAGAGAGGAGAGGAAAGGGAGGAGAGAGAAGAGAAGAGGGAGTAGAGAGAGAAAGGAAGGAGAAGAGAGGAGAGGAAAGGGAGGAGAGAGAAGAGAAGAGGGAGTAGAGAGAGAAGGGAAGGAGAAGAGAGGAGGGGAAGGACAGATCAAGGAGAGAGGGAAGAGGAAGAGAGGAGAGGGGAGGGAGTTCAAAGATATCAAATTAAAATTAAATGAGTTATTTGGTACGATCAGTTGTACAAGTTATTGCACAAGTTATTATTGTACAAGTTATTTGCACTGAGCTGGTGCATTTGATGATAAGCATATGTATATATACATGATGAGAGCAAGGTACAGACATACTAACAATACTGTAGAACAGAAAAACACAGAAAAATATAAACATAGGATGTGATGATCATGGAGGGAACCAGGAAGAAAAGAGATGGTCACATAAAAATCCACCCCACCATGACCATTATAGCATTCAGCAATCGACTTACACTAGCAAAGAATAACAACGAATTTTAATCGTAAAAAAGAGTAGCAAAAGCTATCTAATTATGCGCTGCAATAATAAATTATCCGCAATTCCCAGTTGCCACACATGAATTAAATGATTGACAAGCTAATAAGTTGAAATACTAATAATTAATTGCTTAATTAACTAGAGAATCGTCTACACGACGTGCGTGCAGTACCTACCATAGCCTTCGACTCCTTGGCGGCCAGCAGGAGGCGAGCGTACTGCTCTGCATGTTTAGCCTCGATGCCGTCCAATCCCGCGGCGGGAAGCTGTAGAGCCTCCAGTATGGCCGCCGTCTCTCCCAGGTCGATCGCGTCGTTGATGCTGTGAATGGCTTCCACACCTGTGCGCACAACACGCTACATTGTCACTACGCTCACAATGTCATTGTCTCTACGCTCACAATGTCATTGTCTCTACGCTCACAATGTCATTGTCTCTACGCTCACAATGTCATTGTCGCTACGCTCACAATGTCATTGTCGCTACGCTCACAATGTCATTGTCGCTACGCTCACAATGTCATTGTCGCTACGCTCACAATGTCATTGTCGCTACGCTCACAATGTCATTATCTCTACGCTCACAATGCCATTGTCGCTACGCTCACAATGCCATTGTCTCTACGCTCACAATGTCATTGTCTCTACGCTCACAATGTCATTGTGTCTACGCTCACAATTCCATTGTCGCTACGCTCACAATGCCATTGTCTCTACGCTCACAATGTCATTGTCTCTACGCTCACAATGTCATTG